AATGAGACCTGTTGAAACTATTCCAGGAATGTGGGAGGGTGATAAAGGACAATGATGGAGGGGGTGAATTCAACTGTGATATATTGTAAGAACTTTTGTAAATGCCATAATGTACCCCCAGTACAATAATAAATAGTAATAGTTAATAAAGAAAAATCTTTTTTTTTCTTCAACATATCAGCTTGTGATAAAAGTTCATATTCTCATTGGACTTCCTGATGAGGTTTGTACAAGGATTTTCCATGTGTTTGTATTTCAAAATTGCATTTCTTACACTTTTAAGATATATCATTTTGAGAAGCAATAGTGATATAATTACTTTCAGGATAGGTAGTATTAAATATGCACATTGATTATGTTGAAACCCAGAGCATAACACCAGAGCATAGAGCTTGAGGAACAGAGGAACAGCAGAAGCAAGCAGAGTTCTTTGCTTGAGGCCACCTTGTCTGCCTAAAGGGGACTCCAGGAAAGGGCGACAGAACACAAAAACAGACTAAAGGTTCACACGTGCTCAGAAGAGCTTGCCTCAGGCCGCTGATCCCTGGGAAATTTTAACTGCATAGCAAGGCAACCTTTGTTCACTATGAATTTCCTCCTCTCCCCAAACCTGCCACCACCTCCTCCTATCAGTCCAGCTCCCGTTCTAGTACTGTATAAATGCCAACCATCTGGCCCTTCCTGAGTGTCATCTGAAAGGCTTCTGCCACATGCACATAGTAAGTTTGTAAGCTTTTCTTCTGTTGATCTATTGTTAATTTGTTGCAATAGATCAAATATACTCAAGGTATTGAGCCTTTAGACAGTACAGGGAAACTTGAACTTCCTATAATACTAAGGTATCTTGATCAGGCTACAGGTACTGTTTACTTAATTAGGAAATTACAGGCTTAATGAGAAACACCCTGCCTTGGTCAGAAAACTTAGGGGCTATGCCCTGTCTAGTTAGATAACGTTGAACAAATCAGGCAACTTTTGTAATTCAGTAGTCTTACCTATAAAATGAGATAACAATGCTGACAATATCTATTTCCTAGAGTTGTAAGATTGAAACACAATACCAAAGGCTTTTAAAACTGTTGTACAACAGTAAAATATATAACAAATAAAAACAAATGGTGTTATTGAAACCAGAGTTTTAGACCCAAGGCCCAAATTCCTGGGTTTCCACATGTCAGATCCAGCCATTTGCCCCTACACCCCAAATAAGGAGAGGGATTTATTACAGGGTCTGGAACATACTGTGGGAAGAGGCAAAGGAAGCACTCAGTCCATCTGCACCCATCTTCTGGGTACAGACATGAGCTTTGGCTTTAAATAGATAAATAATTAGGGCAGAGGACAAAAGTTATGCATAGTTAAACAATTCCAGTCACAGGTGTATTCCAGTGGTCAAGTGGAGCCTGGTTGACCTTTATCTCAGTCTTTATTCTTCAGAGGTTTCAGAGAAGTTGTTATTGCTGTCAACTTGTGGGGAGCAATTTGATTCCCAAGACATGATTATTCCTGCTCCAAGTTGCAGCCTCATCTTTATATGTAATTGAATTCATTTGGGGGGTGATCTGTCCTGCAAAGCTCTCCTGTTCCTTAGACAAAGTTTCAGTCCCTTGTCATAAAGATGTTATCGATCATTCCTGTCCTTTCTTCATTCCAAGATGGCCACAGGTCTGCAGGAAAGAATGGCTCAGAGCAAAGGACAATAGGTACAAACTGGAGTCAGATGCCAAGCTTTTCTCCTGTGTTTAGTTAATTCATGGCCCAAGTAAGGAAGTGCTTTTCAGCAAAAGCGCCTTAAGCACCTCTTCCATCATTTTTCCGGGACAGGTCCTGGAGTTGGTCCGTCTGGGGCTCAGGTTATAGCCCCATTGTTTACTAAACAAGGTTTCATAACCTGGTTAAGTCTTTCTGCTCCTCAGTGCTTCACCTGTAGAACAGACATAATGAAAATACCTACCTCAAAGGGCAGCCAATGTGTGGTGCTTGATACATACATAGTAAATGCTCAGTATGTTTTAAACTATGCTATTTGGTGGGGGGGGGGGGACAGCATGGAGTTTGAACTCAGGGCCTCATGCTTAAGAAACTCTATCAGTCCTTTTTTGTAATGGGTAATGGGTTTTTTCAAACTATTTGCCTGAGGCTGGCTTTGATCTGTGATCCTCCTGTTTCCAAACTATCCTGGGCATGAGCCACTGGCGTCAAGCTAAACTATGCGATTTTACACACACACACACACACACACACACACACACACACACACGTTCACCACACAATGTGTCTCTGCAATGGCCACAGATCAATGTGTCTCTCAAAAAGAGAAAGATATTACAAAGGGAATTTTCATCAACACCACAGTCCCGGATCCCACAATGCTCTTATGAATACAGATAAATAGAACACATATGTCAGGTAAGCAAAAGGCACTCAAAAACAACTAAGTTCTCTTGTTTCTAATCTTGAAAAACACCTACCCCAGTTTTAAGCAAAGACAGAATAAATGCAGTGATAAATGTGCCAGAGATGGTTACAAGGCAGAGCTGGACAGGAGAAAGTAGATAGGACAGGAGAGGCGTTTTAGAGCCCTCTCCCCATCATCTGAGGCAAGCTGCATTCATCTCTTGCCTGGATACTGGCAACAGCCCCTAACTGACTTCATGCTTCTACTTTTGCCCCTCGATTCCATACACAGTAGTAACGTTGAGCTTTGAAAAATATAAACCATGTTTCTTCTCTACCTAAAGCTTTTGACTCCATGCCTGGACTCTGCAGTGAATACGACCCTTTGATTCAAGAGTGTTCTTAGGCTCTCCCCATGCTCCTGCAACTGTATTTTGGAAGGGCTGTTCCTGTGAATGGACACCTCACCATGAGATTCACAGAGCTTCTTTGTGTCATTCAGATCTTGATTAGGCTCCTATAGTCTCTGCTCAGATTCCAAATTGTGTCCAGCATGGAAGCAAACAGGCAAGACATGTGGATGTAGTAAGGGTGGTAATAGAGTTCATTAAAGGTTAGGAAAAAGTATTACAAAAAGCAATGGTGGGGACCCATCTGGCCAGATGGGATGGAAACAGGAAAAGGAAGCAGAGAGCACACTGTTTCAAGGCATTTAAAACCCTGATAACCTGCGGAGGGGGAAATACCTGGGCAGTTCCTGATCACCAATAATCTGCGATGATGGATCATTGCACATTTGCAATTGAAATGGAGCCCTGGCAGGTCTTAAAAAAATTTTGCAACTAAAAGAGAGGTTTCAAAGAGAAAGAAAATGTTCAATCTGAAATGCAATGTTAGCTCACACATATTTAAGAGTCCCAATCTTTTTTTCTATTTCTAGCCTGCTTCAATCTCAGTTTAAGAGCACCTCCCAGAGACCTTTTCTGACTACCCTCTGCTACACATGGCAAGTTCCCCGCACAGTACTTATGTGATATTGCTCATGGTCATCTGCAAGAGGATTCAAGCCACACGAGGGGAGCAACCTTGTGTCCTTTGTCCTGCTCTCCAATCATGTTACCTGCCTGGCAGGTAGAGTGACTGAGAAATGAGTTTAATGATGGCCAAGATTATCTATTTTTGCCTTTCCTTAAATGTACAGTAATTCTCCACTTGATTTTGTGACACTTCCTGGTCAATAAGGAGCCAGATGTGGACACCAGTACTTATGGGTCCTAGATAGGAGCTTTAGCTTTTCTCCACTTCTGCTCCATCAATAAAAAGTAAGAATAATTCCTCACAGACCATAAGGATTAGGCAATACCCACGAATGCTCACTGAACTGAAGAGAACAGTACTCTGCTCACTAGAGTTGAACATCCTCATTTTAAAGATGATAAAAATGCAGCCCAAATTAACCATACCAAATGAATATGGATTTACACCAAGCTGTAAATCACAAACACCAAATAATATAGAAATGTATTGACTTTCAGAATACCAATGCAACACTTTTAGGTGGGGAAATAATAGGTGTTGAACAATGTGCCATGCTTTTTTTAATAGATTTTTTTCTTCTGTTTTGACATTACTTCTCACACTGCTTGACCTTGAGGATTTAAAATGTGCTCATGATACTGTTTTTTTGTCCTTTGCTAAATCTACACTAGATGAACTGCCTTTGGACATACAATTTGTTTATGATGTTTTTTTTGCTTTTTTCTAACTGGGACTTGAACCCAGAGCCTTGGGCATGTTAAACACAAGCTCTATCACTTGAGCTATACTTCGAGGCTGCTAATCATCTTTTGTTTCTATTTTTTACCTGGCATAGAATTTTCTGAAATTTTCTTCAAGTAGTTACCAGGATTATTTTTAATTTCAGCAATGACTACAGAATTGTTATAATGTAATTTTCTTGACACTTTTAGGCACTTGAGGCTTTTCCTAGACACCATCGTGGGTCCAGCGTTTTGAACTCTGGAGTTAGGTGCTGTTAAGATGGAACTGTAACTCTCACTAATAATAATGACTCAGAGCAACCACTCAACTTCTCCAACTCAGTCCCTCCACTTGACACACAGTACTAGAGGCTGGAGTAGAACTCAGTATGCTTTGTATAGGTGAGACCCTGGTTCAATCTCAGCATTCCCCAATGTCCAAAAAAGGAGGTGGGGGGGGGGAGACGCTAATGATCAATCTCATAAGGTCATTGGGAGATTCATTAAAATCATGTGAGTGCAATGCTCCATACTTACTAAATGTTCAGTAACAACTACTCACTTCTTCAGAGTTTTGCTTCTCTTCTTACAATCTTAGATCAATAAAACATTTAATATTTTCCAGATACATTCTATATTTATCATTTAATAAACATCTGACTTACCGGAAGCATGAAAATGAAGGAATAACTAGTTTTCACTACATAATGTTAACATGTATGTAACAGTTCTGAAGAACACTGTCCCATACATGTGAAATGTCAACTTCACCATGTAATTAGAAGTTGTTAACCTAAAAAAGGACTACCCCCACTACCACTCATTTGTTCAACTTGCCATTGTATTCCATTTGAGCCAGCATAATCTTTATTTCAAAATAGCATTTATTATTTAAAAATGTAAAAATCCAGCAAAACCAGAAATACGGATATATTTTCCTGGGCTTTCACATTTGTTGATTTTTATTCGCAACCTGTTTTTCAATACAATTTACAACTTTGTCCCCATTTCCAGTCTGATTATACAAGTGCTAAGTAGCAGAAAGGTCTCGAATAAATACATCAAAAAAAAAAAAGAAAAGAAACCAAAGCTGTGAAGCTAAGTTGCATGCAACAGGTTCTAGAAGGGTAGGGTAGAGGAAAGAGTGAGATAATGTAACTGTAAGGTTTTAGCTAAAGTTCTTTCAGTCATCTTTGTCTTTTGCTCCATGTTTAAGGATGCGCGTGAATTCAATGTAATTGAAATTTCCCTTTTTGTCAATAGGGGCTTCTCTGTACAGCTCATCCACTTCCTCATCTGTAAATCGATCGCCCATGGTTGTCAGCAGCTCTCTAAGGTAATCCTCCTGAATGGTGCCTGGATGGTGAAAGAAAGCAGGGAGTCATGAATACTTCATGGCACTTTAATGGTTCATTTCTAAATCAAGCCAATCTTATAAAATATTTCAGAATAGCCATTATCTACATGAGCAAAATAAATTAGCAAGCTAAAGTCACTGTATAACTATGTCATTATTTTCCATTTACGTTTGCAGTTGTTGATTACTATTAAATCATTCAAAAAGCTTAGAAATAGATTTTATGCTTATAAAATTAATCTTAAGCAAGTATTCTCTAAAGGTTAAAAAAATCCTCCTAGGAGTGGAGGAGTGTAAAAAAAACACCTCTATTTCAGAGATATAAAGTCAAATAAAAAATAAAAAAGTGGCTGCTCAGAACAAAAGGCAGTACTGCCAAGGCCAAATGTGCAGGAAGAAGGCACATTGCTGAGCCATGGTGGGGAAGCAGCAGAGTGTGTGAGGGATATCTTAGGCGATGTGCTCAGCAAGCAGAAGGTTAATGCAGACGAAAAAGAGAAATCTGAAGAAGAAGAAAAGAAAAATGAGAGGAAGCCAGGCTTAATGGCTTAATGGATTTTAAAAAGTTTCTCCAGAGGTCCAGTATAATGAAGAACAGAAAACAAAACAAAGCAAAACTCCAAGAAAAAAAAAGGACAAACCTAAGACTTTAATTGTTCATGCTAGCAACTATATTTTTTAAAGGCTGACTGTCTCTTGAAGAGTAGTATTCATTGTCTGAGAGACTATTTAATGGACCATAATTCTCCTTTTGATTTTCAGGAAGCTTAGAGCCAAACTTCGAAGACAAATAATACAAACTGTAGCTTTAGAACCTAAATATCTATATCCTGCCCATTTTCAGGTGTATTGTCCTAAAGATAAGTAACAATTTATCTTTATTCATTTTTTCAAAACTAATTTGTTTCATTTCCTAAAAAGTGTTTCATGTACCTAAAATGAGGGTGGGCATAAACAAAGAAATAGCATTTACCTGTTGCTTCTTCATCAAAGCAAGCAAAAGCATTTCTGATGACATCTTCTGGATCTGTGCCATTTAACTTCTCACCAAACATGGTGAGAAACATGGTGAAATTGATGGGGCCTGGAGCCTCATTCATCATGGCATCAAGGTAGGCATCAGTAGGATTCTTCCCTGGAAGAATTCACATTTTCACATTTAAAGACTCATTTAAAGAACTCATTTCAATAAAGAAATTACTTGGCTACTATTATGTTACAAACATTTTTTAAAAGTTACATCACAGCACTTGAAAATAATTTTTCAATTAACTTTTCTTAAGAGCATTTTAAGGGGTTAGGATATAGCTCAGTGGCAGAGCACATACTTAGCATATAGAACGTCCTCGATTTCATACTCAGCACCACAAAAAAAAGAATGTTTTTTAACAATTTGAAAAATCTTTGAAACATCATTACAAAAATGCAATCTGGGGGCTGGGGAGGTTGTTCAGGGTAGAAAGCTTGCCTAACATGCTCAAAACCCTGAGTTCAATCCTAGGACTACACCAAAAAAAACCAAAAAGCCAGCACCTGTCTTTTCATTGAAAACAAAACAAAAACCTGAACCTATGAACCAGGAAATGCCAAACTATTCATCTTGAATGTTGGTAATATTAAAGGTTGATTAGGGGAGTCACTTCAATACCAATTATTTTAAAAACTTAAATACTTCTATTTCTAATTGTGATACACTTGTTCATGAATTGGTATGCTTCAAAATTTTTATTTATAAGTTGGCCATTTAAGTTAAACTATTAGGTTGGTTTGGGGATTGGTAGCTCATTTGGAACAACATTTAATAAATACTATTAGGTTGTCAGATAGCAGTGTTTACACATGTTGCTGAGCTGGAAGTCCTGACAGCATTGTTTGCAAAGGGAAATATCAGCTCCAGCTGAGAAAGAGTCTTCTTTCACTACAGTGAAAGGGTCAGAACTCTCCTGCCTTCTCTAGGAGCTGGGAAAATCCCCTGGAATGGCCAATCTAAGTGGGAATTTCTGTAGGGCCCATGATGTGGGGCAAACAGCAAGAATTTCAATTGTACTATTGGCTATGAGTCCTGTTTTGGGCAAGCGGGTGAAGGGGGGGTGGTGACAGAACTGGGGTTCAAACCCAGCATTCCAGATTCCACACTCTGTATTCAGTGCCATTCTTGTCTACAGCTTCCTTTTTTTTAATCTGTAAAAAAGACTAGTTGAAAGGTCCCTTTAGGCATTAAGTCTGTATGATTCTATATAAAAGAACATTTGTTAGTCTGATGTTCATATCTAAGGAAGTGCCTAAAAGTTAACCCAGCTAAGTGCTGATGATAGTCAAATCATATGCAAATTGCAAACCTGGGAATTGTGGTGAAATTTAAATACCATGTTGGCATCAATTTCACTGCACCACAATCCTGCCTCATTATACCTACTTAACCAGAGAATCACCGAATAAGTGAAAGGAGTTTTTAAAACTCTGCTTTTCTGTTTGCAGGTTTAACACAACTTTCTTACAGCATTTTTTTGAGAGGAGGGAAGGGGGCTGTAACCCGAAGTTGTTCCGAGAACTGTGGGGTAAAAAAAGACACAGAAATTTAAAATGGATTGGTTTAGGCTAAGCAGTTATGGACTCATTCAAGGATCTGATGTAATTTTTGATCTGAAACTTAAATTTAGGTCTATTTAAAGATTTCCCCCAATGGGAAGGTCCCAGAAGCAGCCTCTTGCCCTATTACCACTTGTTCATTCAGCACATATTTATTAACATCTACTATGAGCAGGACTAAACAAGTACACCCAGATATTCTGAATGCGGAAAACACTGGATATAATCTTCCTACAAATCAAGGAACTCTCTTGATTCTAATCTGACTCTGGGTAAAGGAAATGTTGCAAAATGTTAACAATTGAATACAGGTAAAAGATGCACAGGTATTCACTCTTCTTTTAACTTTTTGTAACCTTCAAAGTTTTCAAAATAAGGTTACAAGGAAAAAATCAAAATAAAAAATAAAGAACAAAAGCTAGCTAATCATTTTGTGGACACAAAAAATAAGCCAAAGTACTTCTCTCTTTGCCTTTCAGCCCTGAGATACTCTTACTGGGGAGTCAGCCAAGCAGGAGAATAACCCAAAATGTGGAGCCTCACTCAGTATAGGCCATCTCTGCTTCCAGTAGCCCCAATTCCCTCCAGCAGGAGCTAATCAAGGTCCTAGCTGCCTGCCACTTGGCCCTTTTCTCCCAACAGTAAAATCATTGCTGACTCTGGGCAGAACTTGCACAACCATCCCTCTTATCCTTCTTTTAAAGATCAAAACAAACAGTAACAAAATCATAGGAGGAATAATAAATTCACTCCCATATACCCAAAATAACAAATAGCAGTTTATGGTTTCTAAAAAAAAAATTTAATTATAAAAAAAAAAGTATACATAATAGTGTTTAAGTCCCTTTCCTTCTATTCCCTTTTTAAGTAACACTGCCCTTCCTCCCCAGGGACAATCATTATTATTCATTTTTGTCACCCTTTTCTTTGCAACCTGTCCTCAATCTTTATTAACTATACTATATTACTAGCTCTACTTATTATTCATAATTCTGGTATTTTGCTGCCTAACTTATCTGCTGGCTTTCAGTCTAACAGTCCTAAAGCATGTAGCTAACAAGAACGTAAGCCTATCCAGCCACAGGTTATCCCCTCATGTCTAGCCCAGTTCCAATATTGCACTACTCACACCCAGAAATCTCTCTAGGGCCTTCTAAGACAAGGAGAGGAATATCTGTACATAACACAAAAAAATGACTCAAAGAGATGAATTATCATTTGGAGGAAAAAGCATATAAAAAATGTAAAAGTCTACCTAAAGAAGCAAGCATATCATGCAGATCTTCCTTATCAATGAAGCCATCTCTGTTCTGGTCGATCATGTTGAAGGCCTCTTTGAACTCCTGGATCTGTGACTGGTCAAACATAGCAAACACATTGGAGGTTGCACGCTGAGGGCGCTTCTTGGTGGTCTTGGTCTTTGCCTTTTTGCTCGACATGATGGCTGCTTAATTCTGGAGTTAAAAAGACCATAAAACAAAAAAGAATATATGACACTAAGCAAAAAGAGGACATACACACCTGAAGTTAGTAAGAATATCTTAAGATATAATTATTACTTAACTGGGTAGGAAAAAGTACACATCTTTAAACTTTATTTTCAATGTGACAATTAAGTGGCTGAAAAAAAAAGCCCACGGTTTTGAAAGAATTAAGAATCAAAATAGGAGTGGTAGAGTGCCGGGAAGTGTGAGACCCCGAGTTCAAACCCCAGTGCCACCAAAGAAAAGAGAAACAGAATAGAGGCCAGGCATGGTTGGTAATGGCACACACCTACAAATCCAGTACTCAGAAATCTGAGGCAGCAAGATCTCAAGTTCAAGGCCAAAACTGAGTACATAGTGTGAGACCCTGTCTCAAAAAACAAACAGAGAAAGAGGAGAAGAAAGCAAAAATTACTGATGCACTTTCCCTCAAATATCATGGGACTGATTTTTATCAAATAGAAATTAATTTAAAATATTGAACACTAGTATTTACTGAGTAGTTACTATGTGCCAAGCACTGATTTGAAGGCTTGGGGATCCTCACAGAGAGGCTTCAAAACTGATTCTTACCCTCACAAGGATTGTCTCATTTAATTCTTACAACAATCAAAATCAATAGGTGCTCTTACTATTTCATTTCCCTACCAATATAACATAACCTCTGGAAGCCTTAGTTTTTCATCTTTGTTACTATAATGCAAGGCAAGAACTAAATGAGATACTATACATAGAGACCAGTATAGTCAGCCCATGATGCATGTTCAAAAGGTGCTCATCTTTAAGAAACATGCCTCATGTCTCAAATTGTGATTCTTCTGATCTCAGCCTCCCAAGTTGCTAGGATACAGGCATGAACTACTGGCACCTAGCTCTAAGGTAACTTTTGATCCAATATGTTATTCAATCTTCACAAATGTCCTGATATCGGTACTACCTAAATTAAAACAAAACAAAACAAAACAAAAAAACCAACAGTCCCTATGTTATTAAAGAACTTAATTAAGTTGCCCAAAAAGAAGTCTAGCCTTTGCCCTTGGCTCCTAAGAGGGGATCTCTAGGCTCCTGGAATTTCCTGCCTGATATCTGCAGTACTGGGTTGACCAGACAGTCTAATGATGGGAGTTATGGTGGGAGATTTGGATTATGTGGTATCAGCTTGACCTATAGAGCGGCTGAAGACTGATGTTACCCAAGTGGGCAGCTATGTAATGGAGTCCCACTAAAATTCTGGACATCAAGGATTATGTGAATTTCTGATTGTCAACCCTCTGTATATTGCCACACATTGTTGCCAGGAGGAGTTAACACTGTCCATGACTTCCCTGGGGAGACAACTGAAGCACTGTATTTGGCACCCTCCTAGATTCTGCCCCACAGGGATCTCCCCTCAACTGACTTTAATCTGTGCCTTTTCACTTAATAAACCATAACTCTGAGTATACAGCTTTCTGTGAGTTCTGTGAATCCTAACAAATTATTGAACTTGATGGTGGTCTTGGGGGCATCCAATCTTGCCACTGGTGCCAGAAGTAAGAGCAGTCTTGAGGATAGTTCCTTATGTCTGCAGCCCACAGGTAACTAGCCTGCCAGGTCAGTGGCTTAGCAAGCAACCTGTGTCTTTAAGACTTCAGGCTTTTTACTTTCTTCACAAACTGCTTCTTTTCCTTCAATCTTCTAAAGAACACTCTACAGGGTGTTTTAAAGCTTGGCTTAGTGGTGGTTTTGAAGTATACTAGCCCTGGAATCTTTTCTCTCAACATTCCAAATGCCTGTCCTCACTACATACTTGTCCTGAATAAACATTCATTTTCTTCTCCTTCCTGAAATTTAGCTTGCTCTTTGACCTTAGTTATATTGAAGGTTAAATCAAAGACAAAATATGGTCTACGAGCTGGCACTTACTTGTTTTTTTTGGTTTTGTTTTTTGCATTTTCTTCCTTTTTTTGGTACTGGAGTTTGAACTCAGGCCTCACACATACTAAGTGCATAGTCTACCATTGAGCTACACTCCCAGCCCTATCTGACTATGTTTTAATTCCTCACACTCCAAAACTATTAGGTTAAGGCTTTTTTTGCCATGCCAATAATACTATTATTCTATTTCTTTAAGATATAACAGGAGATAGTAAATCTGAAAGCAAGAATCAATTCTATCAAAAAATCATTTTTATAGTAAAGTCATTAAGAAAATTTTCCCAAACAGCAAATTTTTTACTTTTAAAAATGATTACATCATGCTAACTCAACAGTTTAACTCAAAAATATACTACATTTAAACATTTTTGAAATTTACTCTGTGTTCTTCAAGAGGCCAATGTCAAAATGGAATTGGACATTTGAGAATTTTATAGGAGAGGTCAGGAGGTGTGGTTCAAACAGTAAAGCGTGAAGCCCTGAGTTCAAAACTCAGCACGCAAAAAAAAAAAAAAGAAGCATTTTATTAGGTAAAATGCTTATGGAGAATGGGGAAGCAACCAAGTAAAGCTAGAAATGCCCTCAGATGCTGAGGCAAACCTGATCCCCAAGTAACAGAAAAGGGAAGTAAGGCTGATGGAAGAGAGCTAAGAGCAATTCATGAACTGGCCCTAGTCAAAATATGTTACAGGGCAACTGAGCTTGATATAATAGTACTATAATTTCTTTCTTAAGAAGACAGAGAAAAAGAGTATTTTCTTTTGAGATAGGACCTTACTATGTAGTCCAAGCTGTCCTTGAACTCCTGATCCTCCTATATCCACCTCCCCCAGTGCTGCGATTATAGGCATTAGGCTTTAAGAAAGAGAATTTAGGGTTTGAGGTGTAGCTGGGTGGTAGAGCACTTGCCTACCATGTGTGAGGCCCTGGGTTCTATCCCCAGACACACACACACACACACAATTTTTTCTCATACATTTGTAGATGGTGCCTATAAAAAACTACACACACACACACACACACACACAGAATGGAAATATCAGCAGTATCAAAACAAGCAGAGAAGGGAACTCTGGCCCAGAAGAAACTGCAACTATCTCCTTATTTTCTGAGATAAGTATCTTGGTTTTCTCTACTTTCTCACTTCCCACTCACTTTTCAACCCACCACAATCTGGCTTTCTCTTCTCCACTGCAAATGCTTACAAACTGCCAAAGCCAGTCTGAGTCTTCGTTGGACCTCTCTATTTGACACTATTTTATTCCTCTTTTCTTTGACACTCAGCAACTCTGGCCTGGTGCTTAGGTGGAAAGAGCACAGGGGCCCAACCTTGAAGACCTTACATTCCAGTATAAGTAAGGAAGGCTGCTACACAATTACATTGGAAAACTGGCTTGAGTAAAATGCTGTACTCAGTTCGATTTCTATGGCTAGTCCTCCTCTATTTTCTTCTAAGATTTTGATCTCCACAAAAAATATATTTTCTCCTTTTCTGGAGTACATTGCTTAAAGTTCTTTTCACTCTGCATTCCTTGGATGATCTCATCACCTCTCACTGTTCTGACACAGATGACTTCCAAGTTTGTGCCTCCAAACAAGCCTGCCCTTAACCTTTAGCTTCTGGGGCTCAAATGTCCAACTGCCTATGAAAGGCACTCACTGTTGGATATCCCACAGACACTGTCAAAATGACATGCTGAAAATGGAATTCATTATCTTCCCCCTCCTAAACTTTCCAAGCTTTCTGTTTTCTCAGTCTACCCACTAATCATCATCTACTCATTCACCCAGTCAGAAGCCTAGGAGTCATCTTCCCCAAATCCTCTCCCTGAGGAATCAAGCCCTGCCTCTTAAAAGTTTCTCAGATTCCTTCACCTTCCTCATTTCTGTCATACCCTAAACCCAATCCACAACATCTCTTGTATGGAAATTTGTAGCCTAGGCTGGCCTGGAACTCACCTTGTAGCTTAGGCTGGCCTAAAACTCAAAATCTTCCTGCTTTCTGCCTCCCAAGTGCTAGGATTACAGGCATTCATGGACATGCCCAGTTCTTGTGTAGAATATTTCTATGCCCTCCAAACCAGTTTCCTTCCTTCCTGATTCTCTCAAAACTCCCCTTCATTTTTTAGTCAGAGAAGTCTACGACATGGCTATAACCTCATCATTCCACTTTGTAAAATCTTTGCCTCTCCACCTCCTAGAGGATAAAGAATGAGTTGTAAAGAATGGCACATTCTTTACCTATTCTAGCATAGTCTTTTCACCTTCATCTTTAGCATTCTCTGCTTTATGCTTTTCCTTGGACAACATCCAACTGCTAGTAGCATGTGTTCATGTCATCATGGTCCCATGCAGTATCTTACCTTGTGTTTTTTGGATTTTTTGTTTGTTTGTTTGTTTTAAGACAGAGAGTCTTGCTGTATATCCCAGGCTGGTCTGGAGCTCACTATGAAGCCCAAGCTGCCCTTGAGGTCTAGCTTCTCCTACCTCAGCCTCCCAAGTGCTAGGATTATCAGTGTGCACCAACACCTGGCTTCCTCATGTACCTTTGTTATTATTGCTATTTTTCCAGTTTGAAATAGCCTGGCCCACTTCCTTGCCCTAAGAGCAAAGACAGAACTAAAGGTCTACTCAACTCATATCTACTACCATTTATGGAGACTCACTACTGCACACACATGTGCATTAAATATGTTTGCCTTTCAAATGAAGGAACTGAAGATCAAAGATATCAAGTAACTTTCTCAAGGTCATCTAGTGGTAGAGCTAGGATCCAAACCCCATTGGTTATGAGTTATTTCTATGTACTTTTTTCTTCATACTGTTCTTCTAAATATTTTAACATAAAATTAAATTTTTTCAACACTAACAATATAGTCAAATACTGATTCTGAGCAGCCACTCTCCTCTAAACTCAAATCAACAAATAAATTCAAGTTATGCTAGAAAAACTATTGTGTAGAATAAGATTGCACAATGAGTGACTAAAATGTGAATGTCATCCCCTAAATTGTGCAAAACAACAGGCCTGATTGGGTTTAATCAAAGTAGCA